GGGGGGAGGAAGCAATCCGTTAATATCCTCTGCTGCTAACCAAAGGGGTGGAGTTTCGAGTCCACCCAAGTTGGAATCTTCTTTGCAGTCACTGGTTTGGTTTGGAACCCAGTAGAATTGTATAGAAATGAATAGGAATTAGAATGAAAAGGTAAAAGATACAATTTACATACGAAGCTGATTATATGTAAGATCAGGCAAGAAATGACAGACATTTTAACAGGTGGTCATGTGGGAAATGGCTGGTAGAACTCTGACCAGAAAGGGCAGAAAGGGCTAGGACACCAGATGGTGAACTCCAGTGAAGACAAGTACTCTATCACCCAGCCGGGTGATTTCAGTAAGGGCCAAGAGAAAACCATGAGTGCAAAGAACCAAGAATGAACTCTGGTGGCGTAGCGGTTACTTGTGGGCTGCTAACCAAAAGACGATGCTTTCTACTTCCGTGAAGAGTTACACTCTCGGAAACCCACAGGGGCAGTTCTACCCTGTCCCATAGGGTCACTATCAGTCGGCATTGACTCGATCGATAGCAGTGACTTTGGTTTGGAGTGTTTTTGTTCAAGTCACACGTGGGAAAAGGAAGAAGAAAATCAATCTCTTTACCAGTAACACTTCATATGTGCTGTCAGTACACCCAGCATGAATAACTTAAACTCTATTCTTGAGAATGATGAGGGCAATGAATGTACAAATGTGCTTTACATAATTGATGTGTGTATGGATTGTGATAGGAGTTGTATGAGCACCTAATAAAACGATTTAAAATAAATAAATAAAAGCAATTAAAAAAATTAAACTCTATTCACATGAACTGAAATACTATTTGACAATGAACCTGCACCAAGAGTAGGGGAGCGAGGGCTGCAGGGAAGAAAGGAAAGAAAGAGGGAAGGAGCAAAACAAACAGAACGAAAAGACAGAGAGAGAAGAGTCAGGATGTGAAGATCGGCACACTGACAGATAACAGATCTTCAGCCAAGAGAACGGGGCAGTATTTCTCTAGAAATTGAATATGATCAAGCGCTTCAGAATCATATAAGCTCTCTACCTATGTGAGATGCACTGGTGGCATAGTGGATTAAGTACTTGGCTGCTAAACGCAAGGGTGGCAGTTCAAACCCACCAGCCACCTCATGGGGGAAAGATGAGGCTTTGTGTTACCATAAAGCAGTACAGTCTCGGAAACCCTGCAGAGCACCTCTACGTCGGGATCAACCCCAACGCAGTGGATTTGGCATCTACCTGTATCACAGTGCAGGTGCTTTTCTCAAAATCCTGGGAAGTCAGAGGCATCTAATAGTGAGGACACAGGCAAGCAGCGCACGCTCTGCAACCTGTCCACACACTTGGACAAACCGAGATGCAGGCATGAACGCAACAGGCTAACAGTGTGTAAAAACATGCTCTGGTGTCCCCTTAGGGCACCACCGAACATAAGCAAATTCCCTCAAAACAATGGGGGGGGAGGGGGGAAGCAGTTCAAAGTAATTTCCCAAAACCACATTTTATACAATAACTACAGTTGAATTTCTATGAAGCAAAAGAAGTTTGGAAAAATGTGGTATACCTCAGTCTGACCTTCATGTGCACTGGTCTCGTGAGTGACTCGAATGGCCTGGAATAAGAACAATACAAAGTATTTATATAGAGAATGCAAGATATAGATATGTATCACTCTACCCAACTTTTAAGAAGAAAAAGAAAACACCAAAGCTAAAATTTACCATCTCAAAGCACATTTTCCCAATTTATTTGGGCGAATATACCCTTTTCAGAAAAAAAAAATAATTTACTCAGAGCCCCTTCCATCCCCACCTTTGACATCAAAACACTTTTACTGCAGCCCATAATCCAGGTGCAGGTGTCTGCTCTTGCAGCTCCCCTGGATCCTCCTGGCTCCCCACAGGGGGCAGTATCACCCACTTTGAGAAACACTGATGAAGCCTTGTTGAGAGAGAATGAATTGGGGAAAATTAAGGACAGTTTACTAGTAGGTGATTAAGAAGGATATCCGAGCCACCAAAGGAACTGCTCTGCGTTCCGATCCCCAAATGCTTGAAAATATGGGGCAGTGTGTACTGGTCCTATGGAGTAGTCACTGGGCTTATTCAATTGCCACTTCATCTAATGGAAACAGAATAAAGTGGGTAGCACACAGACGAGGACCTGACACCCTGTGTTACGTGCTCCTCGGCAGTACTGGCAAGAGTTAGGCTTCAGCATGCAGCTTCCGTGGGAGGCAGTTTGGAAAGGTGGAGTGAAAAAGCATGCATTCATCAGAAGCTAGAGACTTCATTTCCTTGACATTCTTCCATTACTGTGTGTGTGTGTGTAATGAACATTCTGACATCGCCACTATTAGCAAGGGTGCAGGGAAGGAGGCACACCAGCCAATACAAGTAAATTAGTAAAGATCTATGATCTAAAATTTAATTTTGTGGTTTTTTTTTTTTTTTTTTTTAAGAAAAATGGTTCCAAGGAACTAAATGTAACCTCCTCCCTGGGGGACGGACAACAGAAAAGTGGGTGAAGGGAGACATCGGACAGGGCAAGATATGACAAAATAATAATTTATAAATTATCAAGGGCTCATGAGGGAGGAGGGTAGTGAGGAGGGAGAAAAATGAGGACCTAATGCCGGGGGCTTAAGTAGAGAGGAAATGTTTTGAGAATGATGAGGGCAATGAATGTACAAATGCGCTTTACACAATTGATGTATGTATGGATTGTGATAAGAGTTGCATGAGCCCCCAATAAAATGATTTAAAAAAAAATTTTTTTTAAGTAAAACGGTTCAAAAGACCATGGTTTATTAGACTGCTGACAATAAGTTATTGGCAAGATTAAGTACTCTACGATGGAAGATGTGCAGCCATTAAATGATGATGTCCATAGGTACTTACTGCCATGTACTGATGGTGGTAAATGAGAAAAGCAAGGGACAAAACAGTATTACAGTATGATCGGGCTTCTGATTAAAACAACAACAACACATGCATATATGCGCCCTAGAAAAACCAGTAATGGTTGCTACCACTCATGGAAGGATACAGGTCATTTTTATGCCGTTTGTTTACATGAAAAATGAAGACGGCTGATGGACTCTCATCAAGGTTGGCGACTAGCAAATGAAAGCAGTCTCAAGCACAGTGGAATGCTGAACACAATGATCACGGCTGCTTGAGCCTAGACACCGAACAAGGCACTGGCCTCACCGAGTGCTCTGCTAACAGATGTCTCTAATTTCAAAGTATTTACCATCGTAGTGACTTCAGAAAAAGCAAAAAAGCCATCAAAAGAGAAATCTAAAAAAAAAAAAAAAATCTTGAAAACCATTCTATGACATTGCGTAATCATTTCAAACTAGACTGTAGCCTCTGTCTCGCTGCACATACAAAAACAGCTGCTAGACTAATGTCTACCTTTAAACCTTTGTTTCTCCATTTGTCTTCAGCCTCCTTCCCAATTCTGGCCCAAGAGACACATAGATCTCGGCGGGCATGTACTTATTATACAGAGGGAATGGTAAAGGGGGGGGTAACTGTTAGATGTTTTGCTAATCGGTGAATCAAACGGCTCTTATTCTCTCACTCAGCTCTGGATGTAGAAAGGAAGTGGCAATTTATCAACATTTATGGGCATTTCAGATAATATTCCCTGAAAATACAAAGGGGCTTTTTTTAATGGATAGGACAAAATCCGTACTTGCTCAAAGCTAGTGTCAAGGTAAACCCCAAACCATGTCTACCACCCCACAAAACTCTATTAAATCAACACGGAAAGAGGGTACTGACGTCATAGTTCTCCAGGTATCTGGCTCTCTCTTCAGGGGACATTGAGGAAGACTCCTCCAGGAATTTCTTCAAGGTTGATCCAGACTCTTAAAATTAGAAAGAAGGTAAAAATGGCATCTTGGTATCGCAATGACACTGGTATAGGGAGTGCTAGAAACATGCTAGCTATTTTCAAGTAAAAAACCCTCTCACTGGTAAAGGAAAGTAATTCAGTGACATGCACCCTAAATGCAAACTCCTGACATGACAGCATCTAATACTGTTAAGAAACAAGAAACATTAAAGGTTTGTGGTAATTATACCCTGTGTTTTAAATATGAAACAGAGAGAGAGACAGCAACACTAGGGCAGAAGACAATGTGCAGTCAATTTGTGAAGAAAAACGCCAACTCTGTTTGGGTCTTGAACTCCCGCCTGTATCTGACACATAAGAGAATGGAGGGACGGCGTTCCCCCAGCATCTGCGGCCTCCGCTACTACAGAAAGGGGCGGGGGTGTTTGGGGTATGATTTCAAAGCAAGGATAGGAGGACCACTTAACTGCTCAACTCTCTTCGACCTACAGCGTGAAAGGCAGCGGGCCTGCAGTTGTTTGCCTACCAAAGCGCATCTTGTCCTGGTTGTTGGCGATGGCGTGGATCAGTCCGATGGTCCCGCAGGCATTGCTGATCGTTTGCTTCATGAAATACACTGAGGACGCAACATCCTGTCCCTGGGATTTGATTGTCTCCTCCTCTTCCGTTCTGAACATTTCATACTATTTAAAACACACAAACACAAAAACAACAGTAGTAGCTGATTTAAATGGAAAACGACAGTCAGATGAAAAAGGGCTAAACCAATTTCTATGCATAAGATATACAAACCTAACTTTTAGGTGTAAATATACAAGCCTAAAAAGTTAGAGAATGGTCACGCATACAGTGGTAATACTGAAAGGGAAGAATGCCGCCCACGTCAGTGAGGATGTAGGCGCAGAGTGTCGGACGGGCTATGATGGAGGGCTCCACTTGCTCGGCCTTCCTGGGGGACGCCCAGCAACATTCACTGGCACTTCGAACTGCCTTGCCCTCCAATAGGCAATTCCCTTGGAGGAGTATGGTTTTAAGACACCATTTTTTAAATGTACCGTGACACGAATGGGCCCCAAAGAGTTAAAGGGGAAAAGTAGAAATCTCCAGGAAGGAACCTTTTAAATCTACTAGTTTGCACACTTTTGACTTCTCAAGGCCCCTAGGGAGTCAGCCCAGAAAGTCATGGTGACTGTTTTCTGGGATCCCAAAGGATCATCTTGATAGCTGGTCTCGAAGAGCACAGGGTGATCGCCAGGGCTTCCTAAGAAGAAGTTCAAGAGCACAGACACTGCACAGGTGAGAAAGAGGAGGAGAGGTGCACCGAGGAATGGTCTTCCATCACAGCACGCACCTGCTCATTTTTGGAGGGCAGGAAGGCTTAGGAAGATTCAGTGGGGAACCGGCCACCCATCAACCCTACAGCCCATCTCGTTCCTTTAGATTCCTTTTGCTCCCAACACCCAAAGAAAGCTGAGCTCCTCCAGGAGGCTGGGTTCTTGCAAGAAGCACTTGAGAAATGAAAACACCACCTTCGGAAGCGTGCAGGCCTACATGGAGGCCCCTGAAGAAACGATAGCTTCACCTCGATATTTCTGCTCAATGAGGTTTCTATGACTTTGAGGCAACACTTTACTTTATCTGTTCAAAGGAGCCCTGGTGGCATAGTGGTCACACAGTGGGCTGCTAACCACAAGGTTGGCAATGGTTCAGTTTCCCAAATGTAAACAAGGGGTGAAAAACATTAGTTACTGTCAAGTCCATCCAAATTTTCCCCATGGGGTTTCCAAGGCTGTACGTTTTACAGAAGCAGAAGTAAGCTGCCACATCTTTCTCCTGTGGAACGGATGGTGGCTTCTAACCCCTGACCTCTTACTGATTCTTATCACTGGGGTCCTGCAACAGTGATCATGAGACAGGGGCTAAAAAAGAGGGGAAGAGTGGACAGATGATTGTGCAGTTGTACTCTAAGTTTTTCAGATTCCAATCACAGTGCCTGCTGCCTCTTCTCATCAGCGACGCTCAGCTTCTGTCCTGGCCGAGGCCGGGCATCCACTTCTGGAAAACAAGCCACTGGAAATCCCCAGGGCTGCTTCCAGCCTGACACCCAGGAGATCAAAATGGGAGCAGACTTGAGGGCAACCAAGTTTATGGCTGTTTCAGGCCTACCACGCTGGTTGGATAATGCAACAGGAGTTGTGAATATTTACTGTGTGGCCCTTTCCAGAAGGAAAGGGCCCTGGTGGCATAGTGGATTACAACTTGGGCTGCTAAACGCAAGGTCAGGAGTTCGACCACTAGTGGCTCCGTGGGAGTAAGAGGCGGCTTTCTGTTCCTGTACAGATTTACAGCCTTGGACACCCACAGGGTGAGTTCTACCCCGTCATTCTATCCTGTCCTACAGGGTGGCTATGCGTTGGAATTGACTGGATGGCAGTGAACTTAGTTTGGGTTTTTTGGCCTTTGCAGAAAGTTTGGTGATCCCTGCAATAAACCCATGAGTCTGTAAAATCTCAAATGCTGTCTATAAAGCCCCAAACCCAACCCAGAAGCTATATAGTTTCCAGGGCTTTACATCTTTATGAGAGCTGACAGCCTCCTCGTTCTCCCAAACAGCAGCTTGTGGGTTGCAGCCTCTGACCTTGTGAGTAAGTGGCCAAGCATTTAAGCAACAGTGCTGCCGAGGCTTCTTAAGACCACCTGTAGAAAATCCTTAATTAAGAAGCAGCTTTCTAACAAGTGTCTGTGCCTATGATTACAAATAGTGTATGAGTGTGCATATAAATCAAAGTTACAAGTAACTTCTCAGAACAAGCAAACCAATTCATTCCTCTTGTTTCTATTGACAATATATATATATATATAAAACATTTCAATCCAGGATGGTTGTGCACTGGGATATTTACACAGGCCTACAGTTCACTTTGTGTCAATGTGCATCACTGGCAAGACAAAACGAGGCTGGACAACTGCCCAACACTTAATGCTTGAGAGGGAAAAAAATCCTATGGAAAACAAGCGCAGGTGGGGGAAGGAAAAGCAATTAGGGAGACCAGAGAAAGAGGCTGCTGGGGGCAAGCAACTCAAAGAGCATTTACAGCCTCTTCACGTAGAGCAGTGGTTCTCCACCTTCCTAAGGCCGCGACCCTTGAATACAGTTCCTCATGTGGTGGTGACCCCAACCATAACATTATTTTTGTTGCTACTTCCTAACTGTAATTTTGCTTGTTATGGATCAGGCAACCCCTGTGAAAGGGTCGTTTGATCCCCAAAGAGGTCTCGACGGACAGGTTGAGAGCCGCTGGCTTAAGAGGATGGCTGAGAGTGTGACCAGTCAATGGCAGGAAGACTCATTGGCAAGTCAGCACTACTCTAGCGCACCCGTTTAGAACACCACCCGCGGTCGACCTGTGCTATCTATGGTGGTCTGCTTGCTGGGAGTTTTCTTGAAGTGATTCACACTACATCAGTGTCTGAGCGAGAACACGCAAAATTAAAGCCATCCGCATCTCTCAGAACCTCCATTAGATGGTCTGTGAGTGGATGTCCTGCAGCCCTAATGCTGCTGTAAGGTCATGTGTGGGGCTGCGAGCCCCAAGGTCAGCAGCGCCAAACCACCAGCAGCTCTGCTGGAGAAAGATGAGGATGCCACCTCCCCGCACCCACCCACCCAAGAGTGACAGGCTCAGAAACCTACCGGGCAGTTCTACTCTGGACAAGAGGCTTGCTGTGGGTCAGAATCGACTCAGTAGCAGTGAGTTTGAGTTTTGAGTGAATTTGTAACATGTCATCCATGAGCTGTAATGGAGATCAGTGAAATTTCACTGAGAGTCTCTACTTGTGTGTGTGCACGTGCTTGTTAAATGCAATCCAGTCATTGTCAAGCACAGCGAGCCCAGGTGACAGAGTGGAGCTGTCCCATAAGGTTTCCTTGGATGAAATTTTTTTTTTTTTAATTGCCATGGAGTTGACTTTCCTTGGACCTACAACCAATACTAATGTAAGCATCGGTTAAGAAGTTAAATGATACATTGGCAAATCAGCCGCAGAAGACCCATTTATTTATGATATATATATTTTTTAATTAAAAGATCATTATATTGGGGCTCTTACAACTCTTATAAGAATCCATACATCCATTGTATCAAGCACATTTGTACCTAAGTTGTCATCATTCATCTCAAGACATTTCCTTTCTGTTGAGCCCTTGGTATCAGCTCTTCCCCCCAACCCTAACACACACATACCTTGTGACCCCTTGATAAATTATTATTTTCATATCTTACACCGATGGCTATCGCCCTTCCCCCATGGTTTGTTGTTGGTCCCCCTGGGGGTGGGGGGTACTGTGGTTGTCTGTCAATCACTGCGATCTGTTCCCACTTCCTCCCCTCCTTCTGTATCGCTATTCCCATTCCTGGTCCTGGACTCCATGTGTCCTGAGCTCTTATCTCTTACCTCTACCTGTGGACATGCTCCCGTCTGATCCGAAGAGGCAGCACTGAGGTCATGATAGGGGGAGGTGAGGAAGCCTCTTCTCTGCTGTCCATCTCCCAGGGAGGAAGCAATATTAGATTCCTGTAATTGGTTCTCCCTTTCTCAACTGAACACCCCCTTACTGAAGGGTTGTGGGGAGGGGACGAGCCAATCAGGGTGCAGGGTAGCAATGATGAAACATATAACTTTCCTCTAGTTCTTAAATGGTCCCCCCTCCCCCGCACTATCATGATCCCAATTCAGCCTTGCAAATCTGGCTAGACCAGAGGAGGTACATTGTACAGGTAGCAACTGGAAACACAGGGAATCCAGGATAGATGACTCCTTCAGGACCAGTGGCGAGAAGGGCGAGGCCTAGAGGGTGAAGGGAATGTGGGGTAGAAGCCAGAATTTTAAGTGAATTCTAAAATCTTTTTTTTTTTTGAGTTTACATCATTCTGACAGTGTAACTTATGACAAAGTATAATAATTTATGAATTATGAAGGGTTCATGAGGGAGGGAGAAGTGGGGAGGAAGGGAGAAAATAAGCAACGATATTAAGGGCTAAAGCAGAAGACAAATGTTTTGAGTAAGATGAGGGCAGCGAATGTACATATGTGCTTGACACAATGGATGTATGTATGTATTGTGATAAGAATTGTACGAGCCCCCAATAAAATAATTTTTTTTTAAAGTTCTGGCTTCATTATGTATAGCTCTATAACATTATTCAAGAAGAAAAGGGCTGTAATATATGGAGATGTGAATTTAAATGAAGAGCCAAGAATATCAATCTATCTATAATCTTCAACATGTCGTCGATCTGCCAGTTTAAGCTCAGCGATCCCCACACAAATCAGGTCCTGAAAAGAAGGATACCTGATTGCCATTACATAAGCTTTGGAGAAGTTAGGTTTTTGTTTTGTTTTTTTTCAGAAATTGCAATCTTTTATTTATGAAAAATTAAACCGTCTTTATCTGTATATTTTCTTTTTTTAAATCATTTTGTTGGGGACTTGCACAACTCTTACCACAATCCATACATCCATTCATTGTGCCAAGCACATTTGTACATTTGTTGCCATCATCATTCTCAAAACATTTTCTTTCTACTTGAGCCCTTGGTATCAGCTCATTTTCCCCCTCCCTCACGAACCCTTAATAACTTATAAATTATTATTTTGTCATGTCTTACACTGTCCTATGTCTCCCTTCAACCACTTTTCTGTTGTCCATCCTCCATGGAGGGGGTTATATGTAGATCACTATCATTGGTTCCCCCTTTCTACCCCACTTTCCCTTTACCCTTCTGGTATCACTACTCTCATTGCTGGTTCTGAGGGGTTTATCTGTTCTGAATTCTCTGAGCTGAGTTTTCAGCTCTTATCTGTACCCCTGTACATGCTCTGGTCTAGCCAGATTTGTAGGGTAGAATTGGGATCATGATAGTGGGGTGTTGGAAGCATTAAAGAACTAGAGGAAAGTTGTATGTTTCATCAGTGCTATACTGCACCCTAACTGGCTTGTCTCCTCCCTGCGATCCTTCTGTAAGGGGATGTCCAGTTGCCTACAGATGGGCTTTGGGTCTCCTCTCCACACTCTCTCTCATTCACTCTATTTTTTTGTTCTTTGATGCCTGATACCTCATCCTATGACACCACATAATCACAGAGGCTGGTGTGCTTCTTCCCTGTGGGTTTTGTTGCTTCTCAGTTAGATGTCCACTTGTTTACCTTCAAGCCTTTAAGATCCCAGACACTATATGTTTGATAGTCAGGCACCATCAGCTTTCTTCACATTATGCACTTGCTTTGTCTTCAGCGATTGTATCGGGAAGGTGAGCATCATGGAATGCCAGTTTAATAGAACATAGTGTTCTTGCATTGAGGGAATACTTGAGTAGAGGCCCAATGTCCATCTGATGCTACCTTAGTACAAACCTAAAAATATATGCACATAGATCTATTTCCCCATCGTCATATATACACATATTTACATATGTATATGCCTGCATTTAGACCTCTATAAATGCCCTTTGCCTCCTAGTTCTTTCCTCTATTTCCTTTTACTTTCCTCTTGTCCCACTATCATGTTCAGCCTTCATTTGGGTTTCTGTAATTCCTCTCGGTTACACTGCCCTTGATCAAGCCCTACCAGGCCTACTACACCCTCCTCGCCAACAATTTTAGATCGCTTGTTGTTCTCTTGTCCCTGGGTTTGTTAACACCCACTTCCTTTCCCCCACCACTCCCTCTCCTATGTTCGCCCACCTCCGAACCGTTGGTCCGTTGTTTTCTCCTCCAGATTGTTTATCCCGCCTATCTTACCTAGATAGACCTGCAGAAATAATAATATGCACAAAAAACAAGACAGCAAAACAAAGTAACAAAAGAAGACAAAACAACAATTAAAAAAAACAATGTCAAAAAAAAAGAAAAGCTGGTAAATAGTTCAAGGTCTGTTTGTTGACCTTTAGGAGTATTTTCCGGTTGAATCTGAAGGGATGCCATGCCCTGGCCCCAACGTCTATTTTTGGTATTCCCTGGGGACATCGTTGCTCTGTTCCCCTTGCTGTTCTGTTGCACACCCTTAGTGTTTCTCTCAGTGTGGTGGGGTCAGATTGGGTGCAATTCCCACACTGTTTCTCCAGTGTTGTCCCCCGCTGCGCTATGGGTCAGTGAGGGAAGTCGAGTCTCTTAGTGGGAACGGCCCTAAGGTCCTCTCTGTAGATTGGCTGCTCTGAGCAGGGATACCATCCTCAAGGCTTGGTGGGCAAGGATGTGTTCCACTCTCTCTTCCTCCCCCTTCATTTGGTCCTGTGTGCTTTGATCAGACATGTCCCTCTCCCTGAGCTGTAACTTCAGTGCTGCCCTCTGAAGTGAATTCTTCTGCAGGGAGGGGGTATTTTCCACGTAGTTGGGATTGGGGCAGGCCTCTCAGACCTCTCTATTGGTTCCCTGCTTTGTGCCAGTACCTGTATATTTCTAAGACACTTTAAGACTGTTCTAGCCCTTGACATTTCTAAATCATTTACTCCAAAATATGTCAGATGTCCCATGAAAACATGATCGAGACAAATTACACTTCATAGTAGAAGAAAACCAACAAATTTAAAAGTCACACATGCCTTAATTGTTAATCTATGAGTCAGAATCCAAGTATCAGATCTTTATATTTTAAAGACTCCTAGACTGATGGATTTTATGCAACAGGCAACATTTTTTCCTAAAAGTGTATTTTCAATCCAAGAATAGAACCTCGGATCGAGCAGATCGGACTTGACAATTACCTTTGCTGTGATGGGAAAGAGCAGTAAGACTGCGCACACTGGTCTCGGGACCATGCTGAGGAGCTCGGGGTCCATGCCATAGACGTCAACAAACTGCCAGTTAGCTTGTAGACCTAATTGTTTGAGAAACTGGTGAAAGAAACAAACAAACAACAGTGGATCATTTGCAGATTCAAAAAAATAAAGTAGGATGATGTTAAAAAAAACAAACCAAACTCCCTCCTATCGAGTTGATTCCAACTCATAAACTCATAAAGACCTGTAGGTCAGGGCAGAACTGTCCTGTGGGTTTCTGAGATTACAGGTTTGTTTGTTTGTTTTTTTTCCATCATGAAGGGGGTTATTAAAGAAGTTCAATAGACTAATATTCAGGCTAGCAATGATCAGAATACAGTTGTTTGTTCAGTCAGAACAGTCTGCATCTTTTAAAACATTGTACAAGTTTAATTGACATAATTCACATATCACACAATTCAAAATTTAAACTTATTGAAAAGTTGTGCAATCATCCCCACAATCAACTTTAGAACACTTTATTTCTTGTACTCATTGTTATTTAGTTCCCCATTTTCCCCCAGGCTCCTCTGTTTTTAACCCAAGAAAATATTAATGTAGTTACTCTCTCTAGATTTTTTCAGTTTCAGTGGTAAACTTATTGTAAAGGTGAAGTATGTCTTTGTAGCCTCAAGCAAAAGATGGACAACTTAAAAAGCTGACTCCCAACTCACTGCCACTGAGTCAGTGCTGACTCCCAGCGACTACAGAGCAGGGTAGCACGGCCCTGTGAGTTTCACGACCCTAACTCTTTTTTTTTTTTCTTTTTTCTTTCTTTCTTTCTTTCTTTATTTATTTATTTTTTGACCCTAACTCTTTACAGGAGTAGAAAGCCCCGTCTTTCTCCCACGGAGTGAGCTGGTGGTTTTGAGCTGCTTACCTTGCAGGTCGCAGCCCAACTCCAAACTACTACGCCACCTCTGCTCCTAATAAAAAGGATCTGCATATTGCCCTGGCCACAGACAAGCAACTCCTCAGGCTGCCTGTGTTACCTAACAGGGGTGTTTCATTCTCTCTGCAGTTAGACTAGTTTGTGAAACTCATCTAAACAAAACCGGCAAGTTACTATGATGAAGAGGGCCTTCCCTCTCAGTTTGTTCCACATCAGCCGAAAGCTTAGAAGTATATACAAAATAATACCTAGCTGCAAAGGTCTCAATTGTAGTGAGACTAACAGCAGATTGAGAGCACCAGGTGAATGATCAAATAGCAAAGGGTTTAGCCAGAATCATACTTTTCCCCTCAACCTGTTACATGTATCACCAACCCCCGAAATAAAGAAGTGCAGTTCCATTAGTACCTATTAAATAGGTTAACCACCTCCTCTGTCTCATCTGCTGCAGGTCAGAGTCACGCTGGCAGTCGTCACATTAAGAAGAAGAACAAAACCAATGCAGCCACACTCTCTGCACTGATTCTGACTCACAGCAACCCTGAGAGGCATCAGAGTAACTACGTCTAAGAAAGCAGGGGCAGGAACAGGAAGGACTTCAGCGTTTATCTCTGACCCTTCTAAAATGATGAGGCATTCCTACTTTTATCATTTTAAAAAACTGCATTTATAATGGTTATAAGCAAAGAAAGTGTCGAAGGAAATTCTCAACACGCTAACTTGGATAGGGTGAATCTCACTTTTAAATTTTCTAACAGTCTAAAGAATACGATATTTTTATCATAGCTATATGTTGTTTGCAGATGTGACTTTATAAAAACAGTACTTGCATTGTTTATATTTACAAAACAGGAAAAACCCAAAATGCTGGCTGTAAAAAGACGGGCGCGTGCTACCTGCAAAGAAAAGGACTGTCTGCATCAGCAATGCCGTCTGCACACCCTTAACGAGAAGCACCGTGCTTGCTTGCATCCAGCAGAATAAAGGGCGTTATAACCTTCGAATGTTATAGTCTCCTCGTTTTTCCAGTTTAAACACGAGGTCGTAAAATGGCACAGCCATGCTGACTGGCTGACTCATGAATTTTTTCACAAGACCTCTAAAATTGTGGCTGACCGAGAAAAATTATTAGGAGATTTAAATACGTAGCCAAAGAAGGCCCTTGGTTAACTTGTTCTTTTCATCGTTTGGTCCGACGATGCCTCTTCTAACAGATAAAGAACATTTAAAATCATGCCAGGCACTTCACCATCCGTCCCCTTAATCAACCTTTAGGGTATCACCAGTAAAACCAGTTGCCACGAGTGGACTCCAACGCCTGGTCCCCTTTTTGCCAGTGAGAGAATGTGAGTCTGGGAGGGTGGGTGATGCTCCACCACTGGAAGGCTTTGGGTGTGGCGCCACCTGCTGGAAAACGTCCTCAGCCACTGCTTAAAGCATCTTTTACCAGCCTCGTTCTCTAAGCTCAGCCCTAATAAACTAGTTTCTCAAAAGGTACACCTCACCAGGTGTCTAAACAAAGCCACACAATAGGCTTCTCTTGAAAACCTGCTAGACTCTGCCCCAATGTAGAGTGAATCCCTGCTCAGTCTTCCAGGTGACCGCCAAGGCAATCTGATTTTTCTCTCAAAACCATTTTATTGGGAGTTAATACAGATGTCATATCATTCCATCGTTGAATCAATCACATCAAGCAGTATGGTGCAACTACTACCACAATTAATTCAAAACATTGTTTCTCCTTCCTGAACTCCCTGACATCATCTTCCTTCTACACTACCCCACTCCCTCCATCCCTCCACCCTACCATTGTACACCACCACCACCACCCCGAAACCTTATTCTACTTGCTGTCCCTAAAGGTTCATCAATCCTGGGTTTCACAGACTGAAAAACAAAAACACCCCAACAGTGAAATCCACCTTCTTTTGAAGTTTGTCCTAAAAATCCACTTTCTCTCCTCTTTTACAGGATGTTCAGGGCACCTGTCGATGTTCCCTTATTCCAAACTTATTAAATGTTTGGATTATAGCACAGAACTCATACTTACCCAGTAATGGCTTGACATTATTGCTAGTACAAATAGACTCCACGAACTACTGCTAGATGCATAATGAAGAGAACAGCTATGAGAAAAAGAATTCCTAAAAGCACAGGAATTAGCCAAATGAATTTTAATACGGTTAAAAAAAAGCGCAAAACCATTAAACGCAGAATAAGGAAAAATAAAAAACCCTGACAATATTTCACAAGCATTAAAAGCGGAGAGAAGGCTTACTTCGCTGCAGACTCCACACGGACTAAACGTCCGTCAGCTACGATAGGTGCTAGCTGACTCTGGGAGAAATACTCCACGAGACGGCGTCCCTAGTCTCAGCCCACCGGAGTCAACGCGGACTGTCTACTCAGCGTGCAATATGGTATCAACTCTTTTATGAAGGTCAATGACAAGCACAAGCAGGCTCTACAGAAGGTGACAGGGAATAAGGAGGTTTTCAACGATGTCCCAGCTGGGGAGCCAGGGTATGTTCAGCAAGAACGTCAACTATCCGGACCCCGTCTCAAGGTCTTCCTATAACATCATGGAAGATTACTCAGTGTGCTTTCCATGGGAGGATGGGTGGACACTGGAGGAAGTTACAGGAAATCAGACTTTTGTTTTGATAAAAAAGAGAGTCAAGTCTTATATTACCCTATTACGATTTTAAAAAGAAACCACATTATGAGACGGAGTTCATGGTATATCCAGGCTTTCATGACCCCATTCAAGATGACTTAGGAAAAGAATGTTCTAGAAGAGGAAAGCAGCTCAATAGATCTGCTCATTCCTTCATTCAGAAAGAATTAGCCGAGGGCCTGCTTCGGGGCAGGCACCATCCTGGGTCTGCCCAGTCATGCCCACGCTCTCCTACCTCAAACGTGTTAGCAAACAAACACAGATACACGAGGTGATCTCACGGAGTGGTCAGCATACAAAAAGGATGAAACCAGACACGATGACAGTAGAGATCTGGCAGGGAGTGGGATGCCGGGAGGAACGTGTACTCTAGCTGAGAAGTCTTGGAGCGACTCAGTGAGGGTGACTCTTCAGGTGAGCGACAGCTGACAAGTGGGCCAGCCGTGACACAACCTGGGGCAGAAGCAGGTCCCACAAAGGATGGACAAATGCTAAGGGCGGCTGTGGCAAGAGGGCGGACCTTTGAGAAGTGCAGCCCAACATTCGAGGGGGAGAGGCAGCAGAGCTCAGGGCAGTCCACTCTCTACGGCCAGGGTAAAACGTCTGACTCTTATTTCTAAGGGTAAGCAGTGGAAGACCGGTAGCATGTGTTACATAAGGAAGTCACACGACATGCCTTCTATCTTGTGGAGACCAAAGTGGGTGTATATAGAGAGCAGATTTCAGGGAGGGGAATGTACAAGTGAAAACACTAGTAGGAGACTACTGTTGACGTCCAGGTGTGGGTGGTGGCCGCTGAAATGGGGAGAATGGTTGGATTTGAGATGCAATTTGAAGGAAGAGGATCATAGATTGAACCTTATATCCTCAAAATATGTGCCCCCTCAGCTAGGCCATGATTCCCAGTACTGTGTGTTCATGCATCCTTTTGTGAGGGGTTATAAACCCTGACCTCTATGGGAAAGTCTTGCTGGTATTGCGAGGTAAGTGTTGGGCTTCTACCCATGAGGCTGGCGGTTCAAACTCACCAGCAGCTGCTCCATGGAATCAAAATGAGGCTGTCTGCTCCCACAAGATTTACAGCCCCAGACCCTTTACCAGGTCACTATGCGTCAGATGCCTCGATGGCTGTAGATAGGGGTTTTCAACCTCCATATGGTAATGAGGCACGATCATGAGGAGCAGGCGCAATGCCTGACTCAAGTCACACCCTTGACTGAGTCACACCTTTTATAGTAAAAGAGGTGACAAGAGCGAGAAGGCAGCAGACAGGCACCTCCCTGCAGCCCCTGTGCTTAGAACATCCTGGATTCAGGCAAGACTGATACCAAGGCACACTGGCATCTCCAAGGGAAACGGGGCTTACAGACAATGAGAAATAAGGGCTTTCCTCTAGGGGCAGTGCCTGAATTTAAGGCATCTGGCCTCTTACACTATGAGCAGGTAAGTTTCTGTGTGTTAAAGCCACACACCTGCGGTATTGTTGTTACAAAGGCAAGAAACAAC